GGGGTACAGGAGACACAAAGTCTGTGGGGCTGGGAACCGCCTGCTGTTTCTTTTCCAAGATGTAAATTTCTTGCTCGATTCTTTTTTTCCTGCCAAAGAATGGCTGATTAACCAGGTGATGGTTGATTTCATTTTGTTGACACCTGGCTGAGGCATCAGTTGGCCTTTTGTCTCTGAGGAACTGGTTTGTGGCTGCTTCCCCAGATTTGGAATATGTCTTAGTAACATCATACATAGAATCTTATAACTTTACATACAATGTTGCCACACATATTTTACCAGGACAGTAATGATCAAATTATGAGTTTTCGAATGGTACCTCACAAGGCATACTTTACACAGTACAAAATTTATCATATTCTTGTAAAATGACTAAACCTGGGTACAGACTGGCACAACACCTACTTTTAGTTATCACCTGGGCTAGTCCAAATTTTCCATAATTTTTTTTCATGGAAAATTGGGTTTTCAATTACATGATTTTTGTGTGTGTGGCAGTTGTCTGCTTTCTTTTAAGTTTTGATTTTTCATTTGAAAACAAAAACAAAAAACAAACAACCCTATTAGCATTTTTGGCTAAAAATTCAAGTTTAACAAAAAGACAAAACTTTCCATAGCAAACAAATCCATTTTTCAATGAACACTAGTTATCACCCTTGCCAGTGAAAAATTGTTACATATCTAGCAAGTAAGAAAAATATTGTTAACACAATACTAGTTAAAAATTCAACATTAGGAGATTAGGAAACATTGCTTCTTCTGTTGCGCATTTGCATTCAGAAACTGTTGAGCTTTCTTGTCTCCCTTTTTATTTCTCTCTTTTCCTTGCTCTACCTTGTTTTGCTGTAGTGTTGAAAACACTGTACTCAATGCCTCAGTTACAGGGTAAGAGAAGCATTCAATACCAGTACATTGTCTTAAACATGCCTTTTTTTATTTCTATGCCTCCTACACATTTGGCTCTCAGTGTAATGTCCCCAGCATGTGTTCTGATGAGGACATCACTCCGCCATTGAAGGGCAGTCAGGCATGTAGGCTTGTAAAGAATGTCATGAATTTTTCTGTGCTTCATAATGTTTCCAATTTTCCTGTCTAATAATCTTGATGTCGGTTCCCTGTTCCCCATATCAATTAAGTAGATAAAACCCCTCCCATATTTTCCTTTTCTCCATTCTCCATGTTGCTCCCCCTCATTCTTTTCTTTCCCACATGCCCTAGCCTCCTCATTTGTCTTAATCTTCTCCTTATTTGTCTTTTGGCTGTGTAATGTCTTTCCACAGGCTGTGTTCCTGGGAAAATGTCCCAGACAACAGACACTTCTTTCAGCCTTTCTAAAGTTGGACTTCTGGAGTGAAATCCTGGCAAAACTCTCACTGACTTCAATGGGGCCAGAATTTCATCCCTGAAGTGTTGAATTTTCTGATTTGGACAACTTGTTCCTGCAGTGAAAATTCTTGAAGACGTTGTGCCTCCCCCTGAAATGTGGGAGGGGACGACCTCCCTATGCATAAATCTGTATATGCCTAAGACTTGCACATTTTTGTTTTTACGTAGAACAATTTGAAGATTGCATGGGCTTTGAAGAAGCCATTATGATCTCAGGGGAATCATAATTTTAATGAAAGAGCAATTGGTCAAAAAGGAATGCTACAATTTCTAGGAACAGTGTCTGCACAATTTTTACCAGAGCTTTTAAGCTTTAGTGATTTTGTGTGTGTGTGTATGTAGATTATACATACAAAATATTAAACACAACAAAAATACTGTGCTTTATAATAACATTAAAGGCCGAAGTTTCAAGGAATGAAATTAGCTTGCCCACAAAATCCACATATGTTTACACACAACTATGCTTATGTGAGAATATCAAATAATTGAACATTCAAATAGGCATGCAATTATTCCATTTGCTCCTGGATTTTTACAGTTCTAATGAGTATGCCCACTCTTGAAATCCCTCCCCCCCAAATGTTATAAGATCTAAATCCAGTAATTTAAAACTAAGATCTCTCACTCTGCCTTTCATTTACTTTACTGTGCCCAAGTATTGCAGAAAGCAATGTGTAAATGTCAGGAATAATGAGATAAAGGTGAATGAAGAATATTTAACTCTGAGTATCTTCTCTTTGGCAGTTTGTCACAATACATTACATGATTATTACGTATACTTAATTATAGATTTTCCCTTTACAAATCTATTTTCCTTACTTTACATATTTTTTCCAATCTGAATCTGTTACCATTGAGGTCAACAGCAAAATGCTACTTGCTTCAATAGAAGGAGGACTGCAGGCTTTTTTAATGTGTTTGTGCTTCATTGTATATTATGCCGCTGACTGTTTCCTGGCCTTATATCAACTTTCAGTATTGTGCATACAATTGTGCACATGCAATTAAATGTGAGCACAATTAGACCTTCAGATGCACCTATTTAGATGCCCCTATCAGACTTGCAAGTGAATTCAGATCATTAGGCACCAAAACACGTGCAATTGCTAATGCAAAAAGATGTGCCTATAATACTGAAGGATTTTGTTTTGTTTTGAATATTTAGCTTTTTATATATTTATATACCAATATGTATATATGTAAGCTTGTTCCACCTCCATCCCTGGAAACCCTGACTGGTGAGCTCTCCTTGTGATTCAACAGCACACACACTCCACGAGGTACCTTCATCAAGTGTCTTTATTATTATTTCTTGCCCAGTGCTTTAGCTACAGCACAATGTAGCTCAGCCTTTTATACTGCTTGCTTTCTTTTCTGAGCTATCCAATTGGTGAGCTAATTACTCCAGTAGCTTGTCAGATTCCCTACAGGTGCAAGTGATTCCCGTAAACGAGCTAACTCCCTCCTACTCTAACTACCCAGTGCCCTGCATGTCCTAAGTGATGAGGGTGCTGGCTGCCCAAAGGGGCTCTATTTATTGCTGCTAACAGGCCCCCATCACAGTATATGGTTTGTATTTTTAAAAGCACTATACAGACATTAGAGACTAACAAATTTATTAGAGCATAAGCTTTCGTGGACTACACTCCACTTCTTCAGATGCATATAGAGAAGTGGGCTGTAGTCCACGAAAGCTTATGCTCTAATAAAATTGTTAGTCTCTAAGGTGCCACAAGTACTCCTGTTCTTTTTGCAGATACAGACTAACATGGCTGCTACTCTGAAACCTATACAGACATTGGAGAAAATCTCCAAAACCACTCAAATGATGCAGGAGCCTAACTCCCATTTTCAAAAGTGACTTAGGTGCCTAGGAATTTCAGTGGGAGTTAGGAATGTAGGAGCTTTTGAAAATCCCACTAGGCACCTATCTCGATCCTTAGGTACCTTAATACCTTTACAAATGTGGTCCATAGCTGTCTAAAGTTAATTGAAAATCAATGAGTTAGGCTCATAAGTCTCTTATGAAAATGGGATGTAGGCTCTTAAGTCACTTAAATGCTTTTAAAAATTTTACCATTAACTAATATAGGCCCTGATCTTGCAATTTCCCACTTGTGGATGTAGCAAACTGCAGGATCAAGGCCATATAGAACAGCTGTGACAAACCTAAGCAAAGATCATGACAGAAGAGAGTAATTTTTTCTTCCATTTTTTCCCTTCCATCAGTCTGTTAAAAAAAATTCTTGGTTAGGGAGCAAATGTTACAACATTTGTGTAAAATAGTATTCTTGTTGGAAGAGGCGGATTAAGAAAAACCTTATTATTAGAAATAAATTATGTAGAAATTAGATACTCATGAAGCCAGGAAAAAGTATTAACTGAAGAACCCAATAATAAAGCTTATTATACAATCTTTAATCTAATAATTGACTTGCCTCCAGTACAACACAGTGAAAAAAGCAAAGTAGATAATTTTGTTACTTTATTTCTAGAACTGGATGAACACGGCAGAAAAGTATTCATTAACATTTGTTCACATTAAAACTGACCATTCACTTTGGTGCTATTTGTGACAATATTTTATTTACTTTTTTTTTTTGACGATTCATGTGAGTGCAAATTTGTTCATCAGAGTATTTGTGAGAGGGAAAATGTCACAAATAGTCATACACACAAATAATTATGTGAACAGTGGTGCCACCCCTCACACTATGGTATTTTTGCTAAAAGCCCCAGGTCTTGAAATCATGTAATTATATGAGAATCTGAGCTTTAATTTTTTTTTAAAGTAAGTTTCAAGCTCTCATAGTTGCAGAGAAAAGCTTGAAAGTATGAACCTAAAGGCTCATAAACCAAAAGATAAATTAAAAAAAATCTAAAATGTATGATTTAAAAAAACCTCATGCTTTTAAACCCAATCTCATAATTTTGGCGGGCCTGATTTATGATTTCTTGGAGGCGTGAGGTTGGCAAAACTGTGAATATTGCACGGCTATTTACAATGGAAGGGTCCACAGAGACATCTTGAAAGGTCTTCTTGGTTTTGGAGTTACCAGGACAGGGATCAAAACAATACCACATGTTAGTTGACCAATCCACACAGCACAAATAGCAAATATCCAGGCCATAGGAGCCTCAGTCTGCCTCATTAAAATCAATGACAAAACTTCCATTAGCTTCCATGTGAACCACTGAGGAAGCCATAGTTGAAGTGAACAGTTCATGAGAAATAGATAGGCAGGAATAGGTTTGCGCAGTCCTTCCACTAAGTCATTGCAAATAAAAAGAAAACTTGTAAAATAAAAACCTCAACAGCTTTCTTTATGGATACTTTTCCAAGTTAACTGAAGAAATTGTGTGCTGCTAACAGTTCCCCAGCTGTACTTATGTCTTATATATGAAATATTCATATGATTGTTTTTTAATAATTATAAAACCATGAAAATAGCACCATGAAGTGAAGCCCATGTAGTTCTTCTGTAAGAAAAAGCTTTTTCAAACCAAATGTAATCACTTTATCATTGATAACTTGTCAATGAGATTGGTAGAATTAGCTTTAATTCTATCATACCTTTTTTTTCATTCCCATTCCTGCTTATCCCTTCTAGCAATACAAGATCAAGACAAGCTACAAGGCCTTTGCAGCAATCCCTACAAACACTTTGCTTATGGAGCAGAAGGTTAGTGTTTGCTCAAGAGCATAAAAATTGCCTCATGTATTCAAGCACATTCTACTTAAGAACTTTTCATAATTAAGATTTTCCTGACATTAATGCTGGGAATATTTCAAAACATAAATACTGTGGGCTGACTATTCAGGATTATATATGCTACTATTCTTCAGGGCCAGTGGTGTTTTATAAGACTTTCCTATTCTGAGTTTCTACAAAAATATTTCTTCCCATGGGAGTTGCAGTTTACATCACACTGTCTAAAATGTTCTTTGGCAAGCTTCAAAGGGCTAGATTTTCACAGTTCTAAGACAGTGACAAATGTCTGGTGTTAAATTTTGATTATACAGTGAAGTGCAGTCCTTGCTTGTACAAAACAACCATTGAAGACAATGGTGCAATTGACAACTTTAATTTTGAATGAAGGGTTAAATTTTCAAATCACCTGTGACTTAGAAGCCTAAGTACCTTTGACTCTCACCTTTTGAAAATTTTGTCCAGCATCATTCTTGCTTGTATTAAAGTCACTAGAGAGATTCCCATTGATTTCAGTGGGAGTTAGCACCTAACCTGCTTAGACATTTTTGTAAATCTCTCCCTGAGGCACCTAAATACCTTTGAAAAATTGGTTTGTAGGAGCCTAAGTCCCATTAACTTTCAATAAGACTTGAGGTCCTCAGTTGTACCCCAAATAGGCATGATAAGTATTATGACTCAAGCACCACTCTAAGGTACAGTTCCCTCCCTGCTTCTCCCTCATTTTGGGGACAGGAAGAGAGTAATTTTCTACTGGCCTTTTCTATTGGCCTTTACCAGCAACTAACTACAACATCCTCCTGTACCAGCTCAACTGGGTTGGCTGACACACATTCTCCACCTACCAGCTCCAGGAGGGAGTAAGTAGGCACACAGCACCTACAAAGCCCAGGGCACCCAGTCCTGGTAGCCCACACAAAGGAAAGGGGGGTTATTACTCATGTGAAGGTTTGTAGTTCAAGTCACAGTCTAGCCCAAAGATAGTTATTGCTATTGCCAATAATTTTATTCCAGCTATCATTATTTAAATATTTGAACCTAATGTTTTTATAAGGAGAGGTACAAGAGAACTAGGTTTTAATTATATAAATCACTTTTTTTAGCATATAATTCTTGACAAGATCAGGCCAGTTTAGGTGAAAAGTCTTGGGGCACGTCTGCCCATTGAGCTGAAAGTATGATTTCCAGCTTGAGGAGACATAGTCGACCTAAGTGTGATTGAGCTGGCACCCTAAAAACAAAGTGTTTCTGTGGTGGTGCACATGGTGGGACGGGCTAGCTGCCTTAGTACAAGTCCGTCGGGGACACTAGGTACATATGTTGGCTAGCTGCGCCATCGTGGCTACACTTCTATTTTTAGCACATTAGCCTGATCAAAGCTAGTGCAGGGATGTCTCCTTGACCTGGAAATTGCACCTCCAGCTTGAAGTTTAGACATACCCTTACAGCTACACTTCTTGCACCAAGAAATGCTGTTCTGCAATATCCAACACAAACATTCATTTGTCATGATAGTCACTACTGAACACAAGCTGAGCAAGTCTCATCTGCTTATAATTATAATCACTGCTTAGGAGGTGAAACAAGGATTGTCTGACTTTTCTGAAAGGCATTTTTAGAAAAATAAGACAACCCTTGTTTCACTTCTTAAGCAGTGACATTTAATTGTTCGAGGGGTCAAGAGAAATGTGCTTGCCCACGCCCTTGAAGTCTATGATCTAGTCACAGTTCATACCATGTACCAGATCACATGATAAAAAGGTGGTGGTGATTTTGTTTCTATTGCTGATATGTTTCTTTCTCTGTATCTAACTTCTATTTGTTTAATCAATCCACCTCTATCTCTAATCTCTTTCTCTCTCTCTCTGTACATATAACATTTGGGAGGGTATCCTTTTTAAACTTCCTTTTATGGATTCCCAATGTACTATTGTCATTTTAACACTGAAGGGCCAAGAAAGACAGTAATTCTAATGCTTTTTTTCTCCTCCAAGTGTGCTGGCTGAAGTGGGGTCTTTAACTTTTCCCCCATTGCTAGATAAATGGTTCATTGTTTTTTTCATCTGGTAGTCAGACACTCCAATTGGTCAATTAATGGAGCTCCTTACTCCATGGGATTGATTTCAATTGGGGTGCTCTTGGGCCAGATGCAGAAGCTCTGCAAGGTGAGCTAAAGGGAAGACCCTTTGTGATCTGGACAGTAAGAGTAACTCAATTTCTTTTCACATAGACAATGCATCATGCTACATCATATACTCTTTCCTTCCCTTAGCAGTGCAAACATATACAATCCTACTCTCATTCCCAACTGTTATGTTGCTATCTGTTGTCAAGCCAGCCCAAGCAAGGTGTATCTAACTGGTGGAATACTCCATTCAGTGGTTGAACTTTGCTTGTGAAGCTGAAATTCCAAATCAGGACCTCTGTAATCCAAAGGTGTTAGCTCTACTGGGGAGTGAGCCAAAATAAAATGTGCCATTTCCCCCCCTCCACTGAAAGTTACTTTCACAAGCTTAGCTTATTTCCTTAGTCCTTCAGGAAGCGAGTTTACATTATTGCCTCCTCCCTTCTGCTCTACACTTACCTCATGCAGTCAGAAATCAGTTTGTTTCAAAATTCCACCTAGATCAGTGGAATTCAATCCACCTCTTTATCCCCACCACGTTCCAGTGGCAGTGTGACTCTAGTGGGCTACCTACCAATCTGCTACTGGCAGTCATCAAAGTGACTCTAGCGATGTGTGACAGTAAAAATGTGTATTTTGAAATGTTAAAGGGTTGTGTCTTCATAAACTTACTACATTATAATATTTGGCACAATTAATTCTCAAAATCTTTTTTGGAACACGTGTTTCCTTACTACTTATGTGCTGTGTGCTGAACATATACCCCACACTGGTATCTTTTTCATTACTGAGGCATTTCCTTTTCCCTTGTATCACAGCATACAGTGTCAGATAATGACAGGACAAATCCTTCAATCACTGTGCAGAGAGGATGGGGCCTCATAACATCGAGTAACATATTACCTTTGTTCAGCAAGTGTAAGAAAAGATAGGTCATCTACTGTAACTGTAGGTTGTTTTGTATTCTAAATTATCCCGTGGGCCTTGATTCTTATCCTCCATTATTTAAATATTATTAGGTTAGATTCTAATTCAAAAATTCCAGCTCCGGGACAGATTATTTCTTTTTCAGACATAACATATCAATTATTTAGAGATTTCATTTATCAAATGTGCTGTAAAGGTGTCTTTCATTCAAAATGGATCATGAGAGAAGGCTTTATTTTAAAGAATACTGAGCAAACTGACTCAAAGCTACCTATAGTAGAAGTCTCCTTAAAGCTACTCTCAGGACTGTATTAATACAATGTTTCCCCTGAATAGAAGGGATTTTTAAAATAGAGCCTTGAGTAGATAATCCTTTAAATAAAACCTTCTTCAGACTCAACAATTGTTTGGTTTTCAAATATTCTAGAATCAAATTGTACAAGTCATTAATGCAAAATCTCCAGTTATACCTTTCTTAACTCTGGAATCCCAAGCCAAAAAAGTCCTGCCCTACACTACGCAGCTGATCTTCAGCTCTCAAGAGGGAATATTTATCATATCTACGGTACAGTTACATATAACTGTTTCTTACAAGTTAAAGTGCTGTTTGTTTCTGTGACTTCCTATTCTGATCGTCACAAACAGCATACAAATATGGTATATATTTGGTTTGAAATACTGAGAATGATTTTATATTATTTGGATTTAGCATTCAGGGATATGCTTTGCAATCCCCATTAAAACAATATCATTTGACTAACATCATATGGGTTTAAAACAATATTTCAAGAGGATTTACACACCTAGGAAAAACAAAACAATCCAGGAAACCCACCTAATCACACATTTGCCAGATGAAAATCTTGCATCTAAAGAGTCATGCTAAAAAAACATTTACTTCTAGTTAGAGACCCATTGCTAGGTGTAAAATGGGAAATAAATGATTTATCAGTTTGTGTGATTATTAAAATGGCAGAGCCCATCTGTCAACATACAATTTTGCAAAGCAGGCTCTGGAGCTCCCTCTTTCTTTTTAAAAGCCATTGCAGACTTTTGAGTTCTAACTGTATCAAAGTTTCATGGTAGTCAATCCTTTCAGAGTCATTTCCCGGGATCTTTAAGAAAAAATATAATTATACGAGGAGCTGATGATAGTTGAAGCTCCCTCATGTGGAAAGGATTTTTTGTACATACTAAGGCTTTAGAAATGTATTGATAAGGAAAAATGTGCTAGAAAGATGAAGCAAACTGCCCCCCCCCCAAAAAAACAAACAACCATAACCAAAACCCCTTCACTTGCTTTGCTCAACACAGGATTCTGAAAATTCATATGATAAGAAGACAATTTTTACGGAGTGTGGCTGGTACCGAACAGAGTATAGGCCTTGAGCCATTTGAAAAATAATTACACTAGTGGGTGAAGTGATTGATTTCTGTACAATCTATACTATAAAGTGCCTTGATTCTTCTAATAAAATATCCAGGCTCAAAATCAGATTGTCCATCCATTTCCTTTCTGCTTTACCACTAGTTTAGCAATCACAGGAATTCTGGATGGCTATACTGTCAACATTGATCTCAATGAGATGCATACATTACACCCACAAAAATCTCACATGTGTAAGGACAAATTTATTTACGCTCTCTGTTACACTTCACCTTGAAAATATTGCTCCTTCTGTTTAATATTTGAACAAAAGATGAAGGATTTAAGCAGGAATGCTGTTTTTCATACTGTTAAACCAGCAGACCAGGATGACAAGCTTGGCTTGTTCTATCCTTATTGCTGATAGCAATAATTCTGCAAAGTAAGATTATTATATGACACGACCAGTGGCTGGTTGAGAAATGACAGTTTTAATTTTAAAAAATTGTACTTTTCAAATAATTTATAGCACTTGCATGCTGTTTGTTTCAACCATGTGAAAATTCAAAATATTGCACTGATCAAAAAGAGATTCAGCTATATTTTGATACACTGTTAGTATATTAAAATTAACCCATTTGGGTACAGGCACTGAGTACCCATAAATCAATTTCCTCTTATCTCTTCCACTGCTTTGGGGGAATCTAACTGTCCATTCCAAAGGAAGGAGAGCGAAAATAAAAGGGATTGAAAAGTGGTGAAACTCATTAGTGTGTGTGGTTCTTTTTTCTCAGTAGTGAAGTAGTGCTTGGGAAAGGCTGTAGATAAATGGCCTTGAAAATGTAAATTATCCATCTCTCCAGGTTCAACAAGGGCAACAAGCAGCACAAATTTCCCGATCGTGGCTACCATACCATGACTGCATTCCGAAGGGATTAGCCATATGTTTTTTCAAACTGCCCACTGTAGTATTTTGCATATGTGGTATCTTGTGGAAAGACTAGTCAGATGCTGTTAAGTAATAGTTTCCTCATCTCAGAGTGTGCTCAGCCACTGGGATCATTCTGATCATGTAAAGCTTTTTTTTTTCTCAGTGATTTACTGTGCTCAGTACCCTAATGGAGGTGGAATTCTTTGAGATGCTTAGCAGAGTCTCCATTCTGAGGGTTTATTTGATTTATGTATCTAAATAAAACAGGTTGTTTTTCTAATTTATATCCAGGCACATTACCAGTTACTCTACTTCCGTTTTTGTGAAGAGTTTTGAGATCTCAGAATTTGTTTTCAGTTTGACTTGGAATGAAACCCAGATATTTAAACATTTTCAATGAAAGTTCTGTTTAAAAAAAAAATCACTTCAGATTGATGGAAGCCTTTCATTTTGAGTTAAATTTTTAAAGGATGTGTTATATATAATACAGCAGACAATAATTGAAAGAGCAGCAAAAGTAAAATACCAGTAACTTTACAATTTTGTATTGAATGCCCTCAATAGCTGGGTAAAGAGGGGTATTCCACGCCTCACTACGTAAACACATGCTTATTTTGCAACCACACTGTCTTGTGTGATGAGGAGTCCTGACATGTACAATGCTGAGATGTCACTGTTCCCACAGAACCCCACTGAAACAGGGAGCATGCAGCGGACAGGTGACTAACTTTAAATAAATGTATTTTGCTCTTTTCATATTTTTTTAAATTAAATAATAAAAAGGAAACTGAAAAAGCACAATGTATTTAAAAATCCACAGATCCTGACCCCTGCAGTCTAGCATCATTCTCCAGCAGATTCGAGGGTAATTATGGTATCTCAGCATGGAATCTCCTTGGAAGTCACTTCAAAGCAGGAGCCGGGTAACAGCAACTAGACTGTAGGTCAGAACCTAGAAGAAGAAAGGAAAAGAGGAATTATGTTCTGAATTCTCCTCTAAGCCTGGCTTTTGTGGTTATTCAGCACTTACTGGTAGAATTAGAGATGGCCAAATCATTTTCACTAATTTAAAGCTGATACCAACTTTGTGGGTTTGAAAGTTTGACCTGTATTCAAAGCACATTGGGTTTGTGTTCTGCTTTGGAGAGATTGTGATGAGAGGAAGAGAGAAAACAATTGAATGGAAATCTAAACAGATACTTATAAATAAGGCACCCTCTTCAGCCATTAAGGCTTTAGGGAGTTTTCCTTTTACTAATGTATAGCAAAAGTTTTACTTTATCTATACAATTTTTTGTTTAGAACCTCCCCCCTCCCAAAAAAAACCCCTACTGCATCCTTTGTCAAGTTATATGGAATCTCAGTGCTTCTTAAACAGGAGTCCTTTATTAAAGAAAGCAGCCACAGACACAAACCAAGAGGCTTCTGCAGAGATTGGGTCCCAGTTTTGTTCTCTTGTTTACCATGGACCACACCTTGTCTGGAATGCTATACAGCACATAGAGACATCTAGTGCCTAAATAAAATACTGCAAGTAAATAGTGGTGGGGAGACAAGGGGTTTAGATTACAGGCAGAAAAATTTTCATCTTAGTTACTGTTTTGAACTCCAAGAATAATCAGGCTCCAAACAACGAAATTCACCAGGTTCACCCCTCTCTAATATCACTGGAATTTGGTGCTCTGTCTGTGCAGAACATCTTTAATGTTTCAAGATATGGTCACTTTCATTTGATGAAGCTTAGTACAGAGCTATCTTCTTTCCCAGCTGATACGGGGAAGTACCAAGTAAGGAAACTTTCACACTGAAAAACTTGTTTTTATTTTCCGCCAGTCTAACATCAGAACATTTTTTATTTATCTCTAGGCATTAGAAGAGCCAATTAAAACAGAAAAAGTGACTGAAGACACTACTTTGGACACACATTCGGAGGTAGGTAATCACAATAAATCTCTCCAGCCAGTGTTTCAGTTGGACTCAGAAAGCCAAAGCTAGTTCAACTGTTGCTTTTACTTTTCCAGATGTGCTCCCCTGCCCAGCTCAGGCAACAAACTGAAGAACTCTGTGCTGCCATCGATCAAGTCCTACAGGATCCCTTGCCTATGGTAATACAGCACTAATGTGGAATTTAAATGTTTTCTCTCTTTTCTGTCTTCTCTTGTTATTAACAAAGTCTGTGCACTTTCAAATCCCATTTTTCAGCGCCGGTGTGAATCTTCTCCATCTTCCCTGCACACATCAATGGATTCAGACGTAGGCAAAGTAAGTGAGTAAGCTTGGCCACATACCATAGATACAAAACATGTAACAGTAGAAAGCTACATATAATCTTAAAAGATGCAAGATCAATACTGATCCTCCCCTTAGTGTCCAAAAAGACACAGAAGAGGGAGGGAGGATAGAGCAGCTACAGCTTTTGCGCCACTTCCTCTCCACTGAAACATATCTACTTGGAGGCAGGAGTAGTTGCAGTGTCTGAAGAAAGGGAATTTGTCCTTTGAAGGTCCAGTAGTCAGGGAAGAATCCAGAGATACCTGGCCTTCCAGAAGGCAGGATGTCTGAGTGAATGGCCAACAGACTGGTTACTGAATCCAGCTGTAGGTGCTGAGTACCCCACTCCTCTAGCCACTTACTGCTGAGCCTCAGCAAGCTTTCTACACTCCCTCAACCCAGACAATATAGAGAGGGAAGCAGATGGGCAATGAGGAAAAACTAGAGGCATGGAAAGACTTACATTTTAGGAGAAGTCATAAAGACTGTGACTGTTTAGTTCAGAGGGGAGACTCTGAATCTTTAGGTCCACTTGCACCAGATTATTTGTATTTGGGGGGAAGCTGGCAGTACAGGTATTCCTTCTGTAGGGTTGCTGGAGCCTCCTCAGGCAGTCTCTGCTGCTCCATCTTCCTGGCAAAGGGGAGGGAACTTATTGGGTTATTACAACAATCTGTAACCAACTAACCCCTTTGTTTGCCCTATGACTGCAGGGGTGTTAACAGGCTGCTTCAGTCTGAATGGTCCCATAGAATATGCATAACTACTTATGCTAAACAATCTGTTCAATCACATATTTAGCTGTGGCACTCTTAGTACTTTTCCCAGACCTGAAGGAGAGCTCTGTGGAGCTCGAAAGCTTGTTTCTCACCAATAGAAGTTGGTCCAGTCAAAGATACTACCTCTCCCCACTTGTATCTCTAACATCCTGGGACTGACATGGGTACAACAATGCTGCATACAATTAGTGGCCTTGGTCAAGGCAAGTTTGGTGGAGTGGAGAGAGCAAAAGCATACTGGAGGATGGAGAAGAGGCCATCTTGGCAGTGGGTCCAAAGTCCATTGATGCCAATGGGTCCACTATGAATGGACAATACTCGCTGTTGCTCTGCACATTGTCTGGTCATTTACACTAGTGCAAAGTGGAGGTAAAACATTACCATAGTGGAATGGGAGTATTCCACACCCACTCTGTACTGACTTTTCACTGGTGTAAGAGATTTCATGAGTAGCAGGGCAATGATGAAGCGAATCATAGGCCTCATAAGAGAAAGAGGAGAGGGAGGGAAATGGGACAGTAGTTAGAGAAGCAGGTGGGATTAAGGGAAGGTTGTTTTATTTTCATTTTTTTGATACAGTAAAGTGACTGAAAAATGTTACTCAGGTGAGTGAGATTTCTGCTGTGATAGCTATTTATACCACTTTGTACAGGTGTATATAATTACACCAAGTGCAAGACAGTGGAGAATTGGACCCGGAAGGAAAGAAGCCAGAGTAAAGAGTAATGATAAGGGAAATAGAAGGAGCAGGAGGAGAGATACAACAGATATCTTAGTCTGAGTGCCTTAGAAATGCCATGGATTAGACAGACAGCAGAAGACAATCAGATGAAAGAAGACAGTTCTTGCTGGATAATAGCACAGAACCGAAGATAATTCCAATACATTTCCTATGCAAATAGAAATGAAATCCTGTTTGGGGGTTGGATAGTCCCCTTCTGTCTGTTAACAGATTCATTCTGAGAGTTCCCAGAGATTATATTAGGGAGACCAGATAGCAAGTGTGAAAAACTGGGATTGGGTGTGTGGGGGTGCGTGTAATAGGCGCCTATATAAGAAAAAGCCCCAAATATTGGGACTGTCCCTATAAAATTGGGACATCTGGTCACCCTAGATTACGTGGTCACAATACTAAGGGCAACTATAACACTATGAGGTCAGATGCTGGAGTCACATCTTTATGACACATAATAATATAGTAAGTCAAACAATTACTCAACACTGAGAGCTAAACCTTAATGAATCACGTCTCACCTCTCTGATGAACATTTCATAATGGTTGCAGAGTGATGGTTTCTTAGACTTTTAGCAGTTAATATCTTGCTACAAAGTTAAAAGTTCGTGGAATTGTCAGATTACTGTTGGTTGCATGTTATATCAAATTATCTTGTGTACAGATGTCTGCAACACTGCAGAGAGCAGCTGGACGGGAAACCAGATATGTAAGTCCCTTTATAATTACTCCATGTTTTAGCCACAGAAATGTCTTATTTTGTAGTATTAAGCATCCTTCTTGCAATAATAGCTGTGTCTGCCTGAGGGAAGGGAGTAAATCCATCTAAGACATGAAAAGTTCTTTACAGTGGTAAGGGAAGTGAATAGTTCAAGGCTTTGGAAATGAGACTTGACACCTCTCACCACTATTTCAATTCCACCTCAAGCCTTACCGGCCAGTGGCTCTTCAGTGTGGTGTGAGCTGGTGATCTCAGTCTAATTCCTTTGTAGACAGCGGTCCATATCACCCAAATACATCCTTACAATTATGCCTTGGTTGCCATCTACAGTTGCACAGGTTAGGGTGAAAAGACGCCCAAACCTCTCCTTCCTTATGCACCTCTGTACAGAAATGGTCACCAAAGTCTGCTTGAAGTTAATGCCTGCAGAGGGGCAGGTCACCCCAAGTAGGGGCATGGAGGACTGGAGTGAACCCTGGCTGCATACACAGGGTTAACACATGTGATGTTCTTTAAAAGATGAAGCAAAGACCACTCTGACTCGCACCCCTCCAGAACGCCCAAAGGTGCTGTGCCAACCTGAGGCAAAATGTCTCACCAAGAGCACTTGCTTGGCATGACATTCCTATCCTCTCATATTGAAAAACCTCAATTTAGTCCTGAATGGGCACAAAATATCCTGTCACCTCTGGAACTGGTCCCCATAGAATGGGGCTAAGAAGCATTTTTTTTTGAAGAAAATAGGACAGTTGTTAGAGAGGCTGGGGAAACTGAGGGAAGGATTTTTGATTTTTCTGATACACAGCATGCTTGCAGGCAGGCCTAATTCTCTTCTGATGATAATTGCACTTCCACTGCCCCATGCTGTTCTTCACTTATTTGTACTGTGCCTGGAAAAGTTGACTCTTTGCTATCCTCTCTCTGCTATCCACCTTAAATACACACATGTGTGCACTCTCACACACAATTAATTCTCTTGTCATTTGTTTTATTAATTATTAAACATATTAAACTCAATCAACATGTTTATTCTCCTTAGGATAAGCAATTAAGGAAGGTACCGTATTTTACTTATGACCCATTTTTTCATATGCTGACATATGTCTGCTCATTATTCACCAATCTATCTTTCTACTCAATCACAGATCAGGTGCAGTGCAGGCAAAAGCAATAAAGACTTTCCAGTTTGTTCCCAGCACACTGCTTGATCAATGCAATTTTGTTTCCTGAGCAAGTAGCTACAGAAGTTATTTTTTTTTAATTGCATGCAGTTATGTATTTTTATTGCATACTACGGAAAGTGAATGTACATGACAGAGTGTGCTAGTTTGTGCTAAATAGAAAGGAGATTTTCATTTTTAGTGAAATGCAAAAACAAGCTGACACATTGTATGATGACGATGATAATGCATTTTGTTCACCATTTCAGTGTAATTCTTATAATCTCTAAACTGTGCCTGAAACATTTCTTTAAGTAGACTAATCCTTACAAGACATACAGTGACTAGAATGTCTGGCTGAGATATTATTTTGGAGCTCACCTGTGTGTGACTCTTTTAATAGGGTAGGGTTACAGTCAGGTTCATTTTTCTTTGATCTTTACAAATGCACTGACATTTTAAAGTCTCACGTCAACTTAGATATATATGTCTTCTTGCCTGTGTTTAATTTTGTATATTTTGTTCCCAAATGTGAAATTGTTGGAGTTGTTTATTTGTGGGTTTGGGGAGCAGGTGAATACCCTAGGCTGGTGGAAACATGAATCTACAATAATGCACATGAAAGTCCTCAGATGGCTGCTCCTCGAGAGTGCAGAAGGCCAAGACTGCTGCCACCTACAGGGCTTCCCCAGAAGACAGAAGAACTGCTGCCTCAAGGAAATCTATCAGGGGTTGAGGTGGCTTTAGGCCTGGAGAAATGCCAACAAAATCCTGTGTCTCTAGAGCAGGGATCGGCAACCTTTGCTATGTGGCCCCCTGGTGGGCCGGGCCGGTTTGTTTACCTGCCGCGTCCGTAGGTTCGGCCGTTCGCGGCTCTCACTGGCTGCGGTTCACTGCTCCAGGCCAATGGGGGCTGTGGGAAGCGTCACTGGCTGAGGTTACCCTGGCGAGCTGCGTGCCAAAGGTTGCTGATCCCTGATCTAGAGGCTTAGTTTCCTGTATGTTCAGCCCCCAAATATTGTGTGTCCAGGGGAGTCCCCAAATTCCTTTTTGTCTGGACCTCCCTATGATCACTTATCCTGCAGGCTGCTCTAACTTACACTCTGAGGCCATGGCCTCCAAGGAACCACGGGGGCAGCTGGGAATAGCCAGGTCACATTACACTTAGTACACCACCTATAACAGGGTCTGTGGAAAGAGCCAGTTTCGAACCATTAACACAGCTCTGTACCACCCAAGCAATCACCATTTATTGGGGTTATTCTCTAGTAGCTTGCTTTGGCTGTTTTGTGCCACATAAAGGGGCTACAAAATAACGTACAATTAGGTCCAAGGTTCCTATTTTGCACTAGTAAGAAAGCCATGTCTCTTCTTAATGAATTCAAAAGCTAGGAACTTCTACGATGGACCTGCTGAGACTGAATTTGCCACCCATTGTAAGGACATATATTGTATTAATATCAAACTCTGAGTTCATCCAGTATGCTCACTATCTCATGACTAGTGATCTTGCCTGGAGCAATGATTTTTTAATTTAATTTAATTTTTTTTTACAAGGAAGTTGCACTATGTTTCTTTTATCTGAAATAGCTATTAATTTGTTCAACTGAAATTCAATTTACTTTGAAAGATTAGCATGATATTTTGACAATATAATTATCATTATTTATATGCATAATTTTTGTTATTGGCTGCTTGTTGAGAAGCTGTCTTAAATGTGCCATTGGTTACAGAAGAAAAATAGATGATTTTTGCATACTAATTTGTTTGTTAGTTAATCAGACACAGCAAAAGCTGTCATCCTGCTAAGCCACTTTACATATTTTCTTTACATTATATTAGTGTATATATACACAGATTAGTTAGAATTATTGTAATCTACCTCTTGGCAACAGTCTGTACAAATCGTTTGGGTTATAGCTTGATATTTTCTCAAGGGTGTTTAAAAATTAAAGGGCTGAATTCTCAACTACCAGTATTCCTCCTTGCGTAGCACTTGATACCCATTTTGCACTCACTTTCCACAGATGTAAATGACTTCACAAAGTACATGGCAGTGGAAACTCAGGCCTGAAAGTGCTGTGGCTGGCCCCGTGCAGGCATAAGAAGGTGGGAGAGGGAACTAGGAGAGTTCCTTCCTTGTGCCAAGTGCAGGAACTAGCAACAGTGTACCAGGGAGCTCTGTGCTGGTGTATGACCAGTGGTGGCACTATTCACCCCTCTGGGTTAGTGAATGTGGGTCCCTGGTCCCACCCTCAGACAACACCAGCTGTGGAGTTTGGTAGGAGCAAGGGGTATGCATGTTCTACCCTCTCCCAGAGTGATGGAGCTACTCTGCAACTGGAAATCACTAGGAGGAATTGTGATTGAGTCAGTCAGTATCCCTCCTTTGGGATGCTGCTGTAATACCATCCAGTGCAGGCTGTAGGCGTATGCCACAATCTGGCCCTTAATATGCTGCAGCTGTAATAACAAAACCCAACTATTATAGATGAAGAGTTTTTAATTAACTAAAGAATGCTCTAAGTTTAGTGACCTGAGGCTATGTGCTTTTCCCAACCAATGGGAGCCACGGAGCTCACGCTTGTGGCGGGTGCAGCATGTGGAGTGTCTGGAGACTCCCCTCGCCACTCTCACCCTAGGAGCCAGAGACCTCCCAGCAGGGCTGGTGAGTGCAGCCAGGGAAGGGGGCAGGGTGTGATGGAGTGAGTGTCTGGGAGGTGTGTGTGGGGTGCTGGACTGTGAGGGTGTGGAGGGCGCTGGGCAGTGGGGGAGGTTTGTGTGTTTTGGGGTGCTAGACAGTGGGGGCCTGTTGGGTGCTGGGCAGAGGGGGAGATCTGTGTGTGTCAGGACACTGGGCAGTGCGGGTCTGTGTGGGGCATTGTGTAGTTGTGGTGGTGGGGCTGTGGGGAAGGGCACTGGAAGGGAGGAAGGAAGGGAGGGAGGGGAAATCTGTGTGTATTGGGAAACTAGCGAGTGGGGGGTTCTGTGTGGGGTGCTGGGCAGCTGTGGTGGGGCTGTGGGGAAGGGCACTGGAAGGGAGGAAGGAAGGGAGGGGGGGGAAATCTGTGTGTATTGGGAAACTAGCGAGTGGGGGGTTCTGTGTGGGGTGCTGGGCAGCTGTGGTGGGGCTGTGGGGAAGGGCACTGGAAGGGAGGAAGGAAGGGAGGGGGGGGAAATCTGTGTGTATTGGGAAACTAGCGAGTGGGGGGGTCTGAGAGAG